GAAACCCTCCCTCTCAGCATCCGCGGGGCAGCGCTGCGCGGTTTTTGGGTAGGGGGATGGGGAGGGATGGGGAGGGCAGTTGCGCGCCCGCGGAAGGCGGAGGCTTGGCCGGCACGCGGAGCGAGAAGGGTTAGGGATCCAAAAGGGGCTGATTTCGTTTTTGCTCAACTTCTTAGGAAAATTGCTCTCCTGGCTGCGCAGAGGAGGACAGGCCGGCCGGGAGCCAGCGTAATTTTCCACCTTCCTCTCCTGAGCGATTTAACACTCTCTCTCCGCGCTGCGTTTCTTCCCCCCTTCTCTGCTCCCCGCTGCCCGCTCCGCCCGGCCGAGGCTGGGGAGAGGGGGTGAAGGGGGGGGGAACGACCCAGCTCCGTGCCCAGGCTCCTTTCGTGGTCGCCGTGATTTGGGGTTTTGCTCCGCGTTCCCTTCTGGCCGGGGCTCCCGGCGCGGCGGGGAGCGCTGAGCTTCGCCTTGCGCGGGGGCGCACGCCCGGGTCTCCTCCACCTTGCGCGTAAAGCGGAGTTTGGGGGCGATGCTGTTTTTTGGGGGCAGGGTCACCCCCAGGATACGGGGACACACACACACCCCCTTCCCTTTTTAGCGCTGCCACTAAAAACACCGCTCCCCCCCAGTGCGGTGTGTGCTCCGCGGGGCGCCGCGCTGCCCTGCGCGCATCCCTGCGCGCATCCCCGGCCTCTGCTTCTTCCCAACCCGCGTGGGCATCCCGTGGGTCCGAGCCACGCACCCGCAAAGGCCGGGAGCGGGGGCTGGAGGCCGAAAACCACTCACCCACCCGCGCGGGGGCCAACCCGCGTAGAGCATCCCGTGGGTCCGAGCCACGCACCAGCAAAGGCCGCGAACGGGGGCTGGAGGCCGAAAACCACTCATCCACCCGCGCGGGGGGGGCATTTTCGTAGCGGGAAGCTTTAAAAATGCCCCTGCGCGTTGTCACGGCGCTGCCGGCGCGGGGCTCAGAGGACCTGTGCCCTCCAGCGTCTCACACCCCCCCGAGGATGCCCCTTCGCCGCCCGCTGGGCACTTTTAGGATGGTTTTGTTATTAAATATTGTTTTGCTGCAGCAGCTCCAGGGCTGCGCGGAGGAGACACCAGGTAGAGGTCGGCTGACTCGGCTTGGTTTGGCTCGGGTTGTAGAGTTTGGGTTTGGATTGGCTTGGTTTGGTTGTATTTGTTGTGCACCCGCGCGGGGGGGGCATTTTCATAGCGGGAAGCTTTAAAAATGCCCCTGCGCGTTGTCACGGCGCTGCCGGCGCGGGGCTCAGAGGACCTGTGCCCTCCAGCGTCTCACACCCCCCCGAGGATGCCCCTTCGCCGCCCGCTGGGCACTTTTAGGATGGTTTTGTTATTAAATATTGTTTTGCTGCAGCAGCTCCAGGGCTGCGCAGAGGAGACACCGGGTAGAGGTCGGCTGACTCGGCTTGGTTTGGCTCGGGTTGTAGAGTTTGGGTTTGGATTGGCTTGGTTTGGTTGTATTTGTTGTGGTTTGGTTTGGCTTGGTTTGGTTTGGTTTGTCTTGGTTGAGTTCGGTTGGGTTGGCTGAGCTTGGGTTTGGTTGGGTTGATTTTGGTTGGGTTTGGTTGGGTTGATGTTGGTTGGGTTGGGTTGATTTTGGTTGGGTTGGGTTGATTTTGGTAGGGTTGGGTTTGATTGAGTTGGTTTTGGTTTTGTTGGGTTGGTTTTGCTTGCGTTGGGTTTGGTTGGGCTGGGTTTGGTTGGGTTGAGTTTGGTTGGGCTGGGTTTGGTTGGGCTGGAGAGCCTCTCCCTTCTTTTTTTCCTCACTACAGCTCTATTTTTCAGAGGGCTTCCCTCTCCTCTCGGGCAGAGGTGCGCTCGGGAGGAGACGCTTTCCTTTTTGTAACAATTCCCAATAATTTATAGACTGAACCTGAGTCTATACAACGCTAATAAATCTGAAGAGGAAAAAGCTGGCAGAGACTGAACTTCACCACCTGATATACGGCCCAGGTGGTTTTGTCTTGGCTACAAACACCACAGCCCGGCTCCCAAAAACCCCTCTCCGAAAACAGGGACCCCGGGGCACCCGGGGGGTGACACGACGGGGTCCGTCCGCCCCTCGGGGGGGGGCAGTGGGAGCCCTGTTCTCGCGTGGGAGCCCTGTTCTCGTTCAGACGCGTCTCGTCCTCTTCTTCACGGGGTTGTCACCGGAGTGGCCAGCACTGATTTATTTATAAGCACCGTCCCTCCTTCTCGGATTATTTATAGCAGGAGGAAGCGGAGCGGTTTATTTGCGGGCTTCCAGCCTTTCACACATCCCCGCTGCAGCCCCCTGAAGCGGGGGGGGGGCAGCCTGGAGGTGCGGTGGCTGCGCGGGTGCGGAGCAGCGGTGTTCTCCGGTCAGTCCCACTCCGCGATGCGCGGAGCTTTTCCCACCCTCCCCTCCGCCTCTCCGCGGCCCTTCCCACGCCCACGAAGGTCTCGGGTCCCCCGGGGGAGGGGGGGGACCTGTGTGTCCCCCCCTCCGTGGGGCCGCCGTCCCTCCTTCACGTCGCGGGGGTCATCGAGGCTTTGCTTTGGGTCCTGGCCTGGCTGAAAGGCGAGGCGTGACGTCAGGGAAGCAAGGCATGACGTCACACGAGTGACGTCGCGTCTGCAGGAGGAGAGGTGTCCCCGGCATCCCCAAACGGGACGGGGCGGGCGGGGGGGGAGAGAGGAGAAAAGGGGATATCGAGGGGGGGCGACGGCCCCGTGGGTGCGCTCTGTTGTCGCGACACGTGTCGTCGCCACCAAAAACGGGAAAAACCGGGCGGATTTGGGTCTGTGCGGAGAGAGGACACACACAAGACGTATAAATATATATATACACACAGATATATAGATATATAGATATATAGATATATAGATATATAGATATATAGATGACCGCCTAAGACCTGCGACCCGTGCGCAGGTGTGCGGTAAATGCCCGACCCGCTCCACAGACACGAGTGGGGGGTGTCAAGGGGGGAGCCGGGCGCTTCTCCCCCTCCCGAGGGCCGGGAGCGGCAAGGACCGGCCCGTTATTCTCCATTTAACGCCGGTGTCCGGGGGTGTCTGCCCCGGGACCCCTCCAGAAGGAGCCGGGGGGGGGGGGGCCGGCGCCCCCGGGGGGAGGCAGCCGGACCCGGCGTTATCGCCTGGGAGAAATCACGTCGGTACCCGGGGCTGAACCTTTCCCGGCGCCCGGCCAGGAGGAATTGAGCCTAGAACGAATTTTTTAAAAATAAATTTTATAGAGCGGAACAAAAAATTTAAATTGGGAGCATTAAAAAAAATAATTAAAAAATATTAAAAAAAAAAAAGAAAGAAAGAAAAAAAGAAAGAAAAAAAGAAGGAAAAATCTCGCCTCCGGTTTTCGAGGCTGCCGTGAGCAGAAGGTTTAAAATAGCCGGAGCGGAGCCGCCGGGCTGTTGGCAGCCCCCCCTCCAGCACGGCCCACCGGGCTCCATCCCGCTCCCGCTGAATGTTGGGGGGGGAGCCCCCGGAGACCTGCCCCGGGAGCTGCCGCCGCTCCCATAAAGAAAAAAATAAATTTTTTTTAAAAAAAAAAAGGACCGTGAAGGGTCTCAGGCTCGGTGCAATCCGGTCACCTTCCTCCTCCTCGGGAGAAAGGCCACCGCCGCCTCTCGCTCCCCCCCCGGGAGGAGGTCTCCGGTGCTTCTGCATCAGCTCAGCCCCTGGAAGCCCAGAAGCCCCCGGTGAATTTTCGCCTTTTAAAGCACCGTCCGTTTTTGCCCGGTTTCACCTCGGGTGCCCGAAATCCCCTTGGCAGATCGCAGGCTCCTGCGGCAAGTTAAGCCGGGAGCGGCGGACGGATAGACGGACACCGATGTGCCACTCATAAAGAAATAAATTTTATTAAAAAAATATTAAAAAATGGAAAAGGGAGAGGTAGGGAGACCTGACCATGCAGAGACAGGGAGACCCGACCCTGGCAGCACCCACCTGCGCATCCCCCAAACTGCAAAATGTGCTGGAGATGGGAGGTGCAGGGGTTGGGGCTGGGAGCTTTGGGGTGTCCTTGGGTGTCCCCGGGTCCGTGGGGCTGGAGAGGGGGGGTCCGTGGGCCCGGCCCCTGTAGGAAAAAAAAAAAAAAACCCAGCCTGAAACGGCTGGAACATTGCTTCCCTCCACTTTTCCATCAACCAGTTCAAAAGTTCTCTCCCACATCTTTACTTGATTTGAAAGCAAAATAGAGTGTCAGGATGGATCAGTTCGAGTGAGCCGAGAAAATAAAAGAGGAGAGAAGGTCCTTTCCCCGGGCAGAGGTAGAGCCGGGGTCCTTCTCCCCCTTCTCCTCGCCCTCCTTCCCCGCTGCACCGACCCCCCCCCACCGG